TTGCCACGTGAAGCCTTGTGCAAAAATGTGATAGTGGGCTCAAATGTTTTGATAATAGATAGTAGGGTCAAAAGCATCTTCTTTTTGATTGGTCAAATAAGAGGGGAGGTTTAGAGACTATTTGGATATAAAATAAGCCTTGGCTCTCTTCTTCCGAGGACTACTCGACCTGGCCATTTAGTAGAGTAAAAAAAAAGACCCATCAAAATAAACTAGATAACACAAAAGGAGAAGGGCGGCCATAGGAGGTTCTTCCGTCAACAAAATTTTAGAAGAAATCTTTCTATAAGGTTAGTACGTTTCCGCTCCATTTTAGTTAATATGTATTTTAATGTTGTCATTTTAGTATGAATTCCGTCCCCGTTTCCTGTTATGTTATGGGGATGATGAACCTTATAAAATCCTAGAAATGCTTTTATGCTCTAATTATGTGTTCTTAAATTTATGAGAACTCTTGATTTATTGACACATAAATATACCTTGTAGTAATTACGTTTTATTATGAATGCAAACTCGAAATTATGTTTAGCTTCAAACTTAAGAAGTAAACTACTAGGAATCTAAAGTTAGATCAATTATAACAAATTTATGGTACCTAGCTAAGAATATGTATGATAAAACATGTGATACGAACCATTAGTATTACTACCTTAGAACTAGTATAGGGTGTGTGCGCTAGATATATTTTTAAGAGTGAGGAGTGTTTGTTAGGTATAATGATGCTTATGTATATGTGAGTGTTAGTTAAAATTGCAAAGTTTACATAAATATGAAATATGCATGTAACATGCTTGCTCAGACATACGTATATACTATCGTATGAGCTTGTTTGGTTAATATGGATGCAGTATTTTCCTTTAAATTACACTTTAGGACAACCAAATACCTACACATTTTACCAAGTAATATACTACGTATAATTCATATAGATCCCACATAGATGGTCCAATTATCTCAATAACCACTTACGTAAATCGGTATACACATATACCCAAGTCACCATCTCTACTAAATATGATTTCAATCATTAAATGTAGTAATATTAGTCTAATCTTATTTCTTTAAATAAAATAAAACACAGATGCACCTTAGATCAGAACCCAGGAATTCGGCTTTGGCTAAGTATATATCATTATGTATAAATATACAAATTGTTCGACTTGAATGCAAATATAGTGACATAATTAATAAGTCCCTCTTACAGTATAAAAATAAAAGGCAGTAGTCACGCACTAACGAGATTAGTAAAGCCTCTTAGTTTAAAAGTTATGTTTTTTGGTTTACAAGTTTTAGTAATTTCAGTAAAAGTAATGTTTTTTTTAACTTCTCTAAATCATTGAGATCAATTCTTTGTTCCAAGTCCTTTCATGTACTTACATTTTATCCTCAGTTTACATTTATATGTTAAGCTCTTAAGTTGTGGAAGTTTTAGAAGTTCTAGTAAAAGTTGTTTGTTTTGATTTAAAAGTTAGGTTTTCGTAATTACAAGTTAAATTAATATTTAACTTACGTTAATATAAAAATTATAAGATCTTTAAGTTTACAGGTCTTAGCATTTTTTATAATAGTTATCTCTTTTGATTTAAAAATTATGTTTTTTGATCTACAAGTTATAGTCACCCTTAATATGCCATACACACATAAGAAAATGGAAGGTTCTAAGCTTTGGAGATCTTGGAAGTTTTGGTAAAAGTTAAGCCTTTGGATATTTAGTAAAAGTAATATTTGATTTACGTTTTTATAAAATTTATAAGATCTTAAACTTTATAGGTCTTGGCTTTTTTAGTAATAGTTATACCTTCTGATTTAAAAGTTATGTTTCTTTATTTACAAGTTATATTCATCTAATTATCCTTAATATACACTTACAGAAGAAAATGCAAGCTCTTAAATTTTAATGACATATAACATAACTCATAATATCCATAAAGTTATGAACTGGTGTTAAAGTTTACTAGCTCAACTGGTAGAGCATCATGCAAATGCATGAAGATGTGGGTTCAATTCCCACGTAGACTAAACAAAATCAATAATTGGTATATATATCAAGATGTGGGTCAAGGCACTAATGGCAATGCAGGGTAATGCAGCTCCATATTTCACCTGTTGTCGTTTTAAATCTCAGGATCGAGCAAGTGGAAGAAAAGTTCAAGGCATTATTCTCTCACACTACTTGTAGAAAAGTATCTTTATCTGAAAACTTTTACTTTTTAACCAGGTCTTCCATAGCACTTGCATAGTTGCATGTACAATTTTACATGCACAAAGATTAAATGAATTAAAGCACACATTATAAAGAACACTAGTGAAAGCATGGTAGGAATGTCATTTATAGGGATCATACATGGGTAGACTTGGTGCTATTTCTTCTATTTGTATCAGGTCTCAAACCCGTTTTCTCCATTTTTGAAGGTCGTTTATTGTGTTTGTTGGTGTAATACTGCTATCTCATCGAGTATAAAAAATATGCACATCCATTGGTGTTTGTCTTATTGATTCACACCAGTAATTTATTGGATAAACTTTAGCTTCTGAGGAACAGTTCTTGACAAGAGGAAGGCTACGTGTTCTTTTTTATTAATTGCAGTTGCATAAAGAGCGGATAGCTAGTATTTGGCAAAAACTAAAGAGCAAATAGCTTAAAATTTCTTTATAATTTCATATCTAACTCAATGTTTTTCCTGAAGCAAATAACTTAATTATAGCTCGATTATCAGTTTTAATGGTGTTAAAATCAACACCCTGCCATTACTAATCCAATTTGACCCTTTACCAAAAGAATTCACTATATCAAAAAGTAAAACCACACCAACACTTTATATTTAGTACTATCTAACTTTTAGAGTAAGAACTTTAACTTGTATTCTAAAATTCGTAACCTTTGTGCATAAATCTCTAACTTCACATTTTGTAGAAAAGAACGGCCAAAGATTGCAAGACAAAACACAATATCCCAAATTTGTAACTCACAAAAGTAAAATGAGGTCAACCAAAGATTGCACCACTCTTTCAACAATATTTTTTTAAGCAAAAACAAATATTGCATACAACTCCATGTGCTAGAGATTAAACAAGGTGCTATTCACGAAAGTATCTGGTTTTGAGGTTGTATACTGATTGTTTCTTCCTAGATCGATTACAAAAGTCAACAAACAGATATAAAGTAGCAGACACATTAGAGGTTCTTTGGACACCAGATTCAAAGGTAACTAACAAACTTAAACAAAGGACAAATTTATAAACATAAAGCAGATGCAATGAACATTTTCATCTTCATTCAGAACCTTCCATGCCACTCCTCTCTAATAGGAAACCGGCCTACCCATGCTCGACATGCATATACTGCCTTGTAGACACGTAAAGCCATGTTGCATTATCTGAGGGAACTCAATGCAGAGATTCTTTCTTCCATGATCATCAAATATCTTTTTCATAGTAATGCATGTCTTGAAGTGCAACTAAAGTTGTCTCGAGCATGTCAAGACCAGCCTGGTTTGCAAATGTGAAGACGAGCAATGCTTTGCAGAGCAGCAAACAATAGCATCCTGGTGATTCCATAGAGTTTTCAGAATCGATTCATTTCCATCTCCCATGGATTTAAGAAGCTCCACACCCAAGAAACACCTATAACTCTGGCAAACCCAACGGGTGATAATATGGGCTTCAGGAGTACCCATTGGCATACGGAGCAAACAACGGGACCCAAATGAGAAGGAGAAAATGCTTTTGCTACCCTCTGAAAACAACTTAAAAGAATAATAAACACTACAAAAAACAAGAAACAAAAACGTAATTAGCTATTAACAACAACTAATAAGATCATGAACATAACTTTTAACATAAAAAACTTAACTTCATAATATTTCAATCTAATCCAGGTTGTAGAATCCATGGACTACATGGACTTGCCATCTCATGGCTAAGAGTGACATGTGGAGTTTCAGGGTAGTACTATACGAGTTCCTAACTGGTAGAAGATCAATAAAAAGAAATAGACTCATTTCAGGAAAAAAAAACCTTTGAATTGGGTTAAGCAATACCCTGCAGATAGCAGCTAGTTAAGCTCGATAATGGATCCAAGACTGGAAAATCATTATCCACCAAGTGCAGCTAGACAGATTGCAAAGCTAGCTTGTAGTTGTTTGTCAAAGAGACCAAAGGAACGCCAAAGCAGAGTAGTGGAAACTATGAATAATATACTCCAAATCAGTGCTTATGATTGTGATTCAAAAAATACGGTCGACGATGAGCCAATTCCAGAACGGATTGGGCCTGTAGAGTCGGAAAAAAGGCGGAATCACTTACCAATCAGAGCAGAATCCCTATACTACTGAAGTTGAGTTGCAGAGTACCTGTAGACTCACAAATGGTTTTGACAGGTCGCTGGCTCTTCGTTGAAGGATCCTGCTCCGATTCAATCAGTCATCCTCATCCCTTCACAAATTCCCAATTCGAGCCAACAACCATTAATTTCCTGATTCAGTCCCCGTTTCTCAGTGGCGCCTCAAACTATGAACGATGGACTGATGGACGGAAGCAAGGATTAGGTCTGCGTAGACATTAGACATAAGATACGAAAAAAGGCTTAAAGTTGTTTTTAATTACAAACATGCCATTAATGATGAGGAGATGTATGGGTTGATCGTACGGTCCAGAAGCATTGGTTTCGGGTAGGATATCCATATCCAATTGGATAATATCCTGAAAAAAAGTAGGGTTTTGTGGGTTGGTTTGGGTTTTGGTCAATCCTCACTAAACCCGTGTGTGACCTACTCCCTCCGTCTTCTTTTAAATGTCTCGTTTTACCATATTGAGATGTCCCTATTTAATTGACTCATACCTTATTTGGTAAACTTTGTGTGGCTCAAAATCATTCTCACTTTATTGTTACTTTATCAATTAATATCAATCACACAAACTCACTTTTCTTAAAACTCGTGTCACCATATCCCGTCCCATTTAAAAGGGGACGGAGGGAGTAGTATTTTTATTAGAAGATACGAGGAGTCCTAGGGAATAGACGGTTTCGTAATCGATGAATAGAGAGAGGATGGGGAAGGCGAAACTCAAGGGCGGGGGTGTGAGTGGGCATCCGGAGGATGTGAGGTCGAAGGCGCTGCGGAAGAGGACGGGCACAGAGAATCTCAAGGAATCTGTTATCAAACCTGGCAAACATCGGTGAGTTCAATTTCTCGATCTCTTTATTGCTCTATGATCCGTTATTGAGTTGTGTTTTCTCGTATTCTGAAGATTTCTCCTGCAAACCCATTGTTTACTTGTTTTATTTGCAATTTCAATCTCTCTGCGTCTCTTCAATTACTGATCGTGTTGCCTTCGCTGAAACTAGATCTGTATAATTAATGATTTTGACGACTGGAGCAGGGGCAGGGGAAGGGCAAAGGGAAGCACCAGCGGAAGAATAGGCCCTCTTCACCAACTAGTATATGTCTCTAACGGATGGGCTGCTTGTATGACACGTCAGTGTGCACTGGCTGCGCTATCAAGTATCAATGAGAAACAGGTGTGTTTAATTTGATTAGTGTTCGGTGAGTATAATCAGCTTCTCAAATAATTTGTTGTGATTTCACTATGCAGGATCTGAAATACGAGCTTGTTGAGCCACAAGGGTGCATCTACTGCCCAACTCTATCCAACCTCAGGTTCTTCTATCATTGCAACTTTGTTGCAAGGCCTGAAAATGGAAGTGAAGCTGATGATACGCTCTTTTTTGCGGAATTAGAGGGGGAAAAAGAGAAGAAGACTGGCTGCCAAATCACTCTCACCCTCCTTTTCTACCACATTTTAGGGCCCTGTGGTTCTGAGGAAACAGATCCCCAAGACTGCGAATTTTGTGCAGCTCTTCCAGATTTCGTCAAACATCCTCAAAGCGGCGATTTCAACAAGTTTGTTGAGCCTGGTGCCGTTTTACCTCGGGCTAGAGTAAAATGATGGTAATAATTACTTAAATAAAAACATTGTACTCCTATTTTGAATTCTCATTTCTTTGGAAAATACTCTTACTTATGCCAAAGTAAATTAGTAGTTACTCCTACAGTCCTACATTTTAGGGAATAAGAACACAAGACTCCTATTTTGGAAAACGTTTTTACTCTTATTTTGAAAATTCTCCCCTTTTAATCTTATTTTTAGAGTGACAATCAATTGAAATATACCTTGAAACTTGTCAAGAGCTTTAATCTCAAAGAGGAAGAGAGCATCTGAAACCTAAACTTATTTTTGAACAGAGAAATAATACACCTAGAAGATGTTATTATCTTCATCATTATATATATAAGCATTTAAATAAATTTCCAATTATTGTGTTTAATCTATTGAGCATATACTTAGTTTCTAACGTTTTTTACGTGCAGCTATGAAGATACTACTTCAACCTAGATGCTTTGTATCTTTACTTCGGATAGCTTCATCAACTGCACTTCCAGTTCAGGGAAGCTTGATGAACACTTGATCAGTACTTTAGTAACTTTTATGACACCATCTAAATTATTATAGCCAAGATGCATTGTTATGATATACCGAAGTAGTTTTATTTCAGCCGTTAGTCAGCTCTTAAATTTGATCCAGAGTATTACTAATGTAAATAATGCTACATAAACTTTATTGAGCAGCTGTCTGGCTTGGGTAAATTGAAAGCCATTGTTAAAGCTTTTCTGGATACTCTGTTTTAAAGTATACCATGTGTTGGCTATTTTACACCAAAGAGTCGCCCAAGTAATTATTTTTACTATTTTACCACATATCCAGAATCTGGATTGGCAAAAACGATTACCTTGTTGAGTGGGCTATGTGAATCAAAAAAGACGAGAACTTATAATTGGATGGTAATATGAAAAGTAATTCTGGATTGGCATGTAAAATTGGATGGTTTCTATATCTTGATAGTTATTAGTAGGGGTGGTTCGGTACGGTATACCTTATATTTTTTCTCATACCTTTGCCATACCAAAACTTTCGGTATGCAAAATTTGCATACCTTTACCTTACCGAAGTTTCGGTATACCGCATTTCGGTATACCGAAGTTTCGGTTCGGTAATGGTACGGTATCGGTAAATTACCGTGCATGTCTCCCAATACAAAAAATTATCATTGACTAACGAAATATACTAAATTGTTATTACTAGCGACAAATTAAATCTATTATTAAAATGTTACGAAATACAATTAATAATCTATTGATGTCAATTCAATATTGAAGAATAACTATTATTAGTATATTTAAGCAGTTCAACATGCCACATATTAAAAAGTTACACATTCTCCTAAAATAACTTAAACAATATAGATATAATTAAATCAATAGTGATCTCTAACAAAAAAAATAAAACTATTCAAACAACATGGATATAAAATCATTTATTCCTAATATGATATTGTGTATTCGGTCATTTTTATAATTTTTTAAAAATTGAATAAGACTTTCGGACAAAGTTGTGTGTTTCGACTCGTGGAATCCCTATGTAAATACACTTGTCACATAAGTGTATCTCTCTTCACTCGTCAGCTACTTAGCGGCTCAGCCATCACGACTTGCAAGCTCTTGGAACAGGATGGACTTGTTTCTTGACATTTGTACATTACTCATTAGTCATTAAGGTTAGCGTAGTAGAAGCCTATAAGGTTATAGTGGATTTGAGGAATTGGACCTTTATTTTTGTATTTTTGTATTTGTAACCAACTTGAGTATTAATTTTGGGCTTTAAAATTGTAATGGATTTCTACAATATATTAGAATTAAAAGTAATTGTTGAGTAGAGAGTCGGTACGGTATTATACCGGTATACCGCGGTATTTGAAAACATTTACCGTTACCGTACCGAAATAGATCGGTACGGTAAGATACCGTACCGAAAATGACGGTATACCAATATTTCGGTATTTTCCGGTATTTTTCGGTACGGTAAGTGCGGTATACCGATATTTCGGTATTTTTGCCCACCCCTAGTTATTAGCTTAATGTAGGATTAGCTTTGAGTGAAAACGTCAAATACTGTAATATTTTACTATTACAGTACTGTAGTAGTTAACTTCAAAAAGTGATTGAATTATTGGGAAATAGCGGTATTCTAAAAATCACAAAATTGTTTTGCTCTCATCAAAACTCAGTCAATGAAGACTAATCGCTCAACCTGGAGATATTTTAGAGATGTTAGCATGGCATTGTTAAAACTCACATCAAGACAACCTAAATAAACCAGCAAAAAAATTCAACCATACATTACTACTATGTCAATAACATACTGCATACACTCCAATAACAAAGGAAATCACTATTAAAATTAATCATTAAGAGAGGGATCAAAGTTTGAAAATGATAAAAGAAAACATGAGAAGCTTGTACATATAGCCCAGTGCATATTAGCGCCTTCCCTATAAAGAAGGTCCGAAACGGGGTTCACCACCAGTTAGTGTATATATAGGAGCTGCCTTCCCTATAAATTAAGTTGTGCTATCAAATGCATATTTCTAGACATTAATTTCCCTCTTTTCCAGCTTGAAAATCATTTAATTTTTTACAAACGACATCACCGTAGAGAAATACTCAAAGTTTACCAAATACAAACAAAAAAAACACTGAGTTTATACCCCAAAACCCTAAAACAATAATACAAAATTTACCCGCACGGGTAGCTCAGTTAGTCGAGTGGTGGGAAATTTGGAACAATGATCAAGGTTCGAATCCCCACAGCGACCGGGTGGAGGTCATAGAACCTGAAATAAGGTTGGGCCTCTGGTGCGCACGGGTGTATGGGCTTACTGCCACTCTACTGACTGAGTCATCGTGACTTACATCCTCCCAAAAGTCCTGTCGGGTCGGGACGTGGGGGGCGCTTGGGGTTGGCGATTCAACCTTTTGGAACAATAATACAAAATTTGTGTGGGTATTAGGTTTATTGTAATGTGGAGATCTTAGCAAAAAGCCGTCGGGTATTAGTTTTATTGTAATGTGGAGATCTTCGCAAAATTTGTCATGTCGGGTTGTACCCTAAACCCGTTCGGGTTTTTAATACAAATAATACGCCCGACCCTTTGATATTTCAAATCGGGTATTTTGGACATTTTTAAGTCGAATATTATCGCATAGCCCACTTTTGTTTGCCACATGTCATTTGTGTTCTAGATACTTTTCTTTTCATTTTTAACCTTTCCTTTTTTTTTCAATTATGTTTTTTATTTCAATTTTAGATTATCCTTCTACCGCCTCCTCATAAGTATGTAGTATAATAATACGTAATGAGTGTTTGCAACCGATTAAAAAAAAACGTTTTTCTCTAATTTTGACTTGAAAAGGTAGAGTTAGTATTTTCAAGTGACAACTTCTAATTAAAAAAACATTTCTCAGCTTTTGGCTGAAAAGTGCTTTTTGTTTTTTCCATTACACAAAAAGCAAATGTTTTACCAAACACTTTCAACCTTTACTATTAATCCTTTTTTCTATAATCACTTCAAAAAGTGTTTTTTTTAAAATAGAAGCATTTTCAAACACTCCTGCAGTATATCCCCAGATGCACAACAGATTTTCGATTTCGCTTCTCGTTACTGTACTGGTAAAACAATTTGGGAGAATTGTGGGAAGGTCTGCATAGCTAACCGTAGGGCTGGGCAAGGGCCAGGTCGGGGCGGGTAATGCAAAATAAAATGGAACCGCTGGTTCCATTGTACGGTTCGGTCCGGTCCGGGTATTGCAAATTTCAAAATAGGAACCGGACCTTACCCGACCTGTTTGAAATGGATCGGTCCGATCCGGGTTTTACGGTTTCTATTCTCATGTCTTAAAATTAGTAAAAACTCACGAAGTTCCAAAAATCAATAATCAATAATCAATAATACAAGACATTAACAAGTTTCAAAATAACAACATAGTGATGCACATGTAACACAAGCGACAAGTCCAATACTTCATAATTTCATGTATATAAGTTTCAAACAATTAAAGAAATTCCAAAAATATGCAACATAGCCAAAATACATATTTTATAACATTTGTATTTAAACATGTTATCTAACATCACATATTAAGGTGATTGCTTTTTTTTTTCAATTAAATTTTCAGTATTAGCCAAAGTTGACACATACATGGTGGGTGGTAAACACAATTTATATATTTTAAGAACAATATTATAAAAAAATATAACAAAATCATTTTTAACAAATAATTAAATTCCATAGAAAGGAATAATTCAATAACAATAAAAAGTAATAAGATATTTATGAAAAATTTAATCAATAATTTGAAAACAAAATGATGTTACTACAACTCAATTTAAAATCCTACTTCTAGCAAAGGAAACAAAACTATTTCAAAACTGATTATAACAGAACTATTAATAAATTAACTAGTGTGGGTAGGGATGGACCCGGGCCAGGCCGGGCCCGGGCGGGCTTTTTTTTTCAATTACATGGGCCCGGAATCGGCCCGGGTTGATACCGGGTCCGGGCCTAACCGGGCCGGGCCAGGCCCGGTCCAATTTTTAATTTTTTTTTTTCTTTCTTGTTATCCCCCGACCCCCCCCCCCCTCACCCCCACCCCCAAACCTCCCCAAAACACCCAGCCCTACCCTAGGAAAAGAAAAAAATTGGAACAAAAAAAAAATTGAACCGGGCCCGGCCCGAACCGCCCGGGCTGGTTCAACAAAAATAGGCCCCGAGCCCGGCCCGCCCGACCCGCCCACACGGGCCAAAAGCCCGGAACCGGCCAACCGGGCCCGGTCCGGTCCGGGCCCGCACAGTAGCGGGCCGGTCTGGTTCCGGGCCGGTTCGGCCCGGCCCAATCCACCCCTGAGCGTGGGCGGGCGCGTTGCGCGGCGGTTGTGCCCAATGTTGGGGAAAACATCGTATAAGATGCGCAAATACATCACAAAAGCGGCAAAAAAGGCAGTTCAATGTTGTCCATTACAAAAGCATGGTCAGTTAACACTTCAATTCGAATGTTTGGGTTAGAAAGATCAAACAAAACATCACAGCAACAGAGCGAGGGCACAACAACGTGGTGCGAGATCAAGAAGGGCCAACAGCATCATTGCAGGCAGCCATACTTATCTATCTCATATGTATTGGTTTGACTTGGCAGCTCCTCTACACCACATGATTAAGGGAGTGTTTGCAATTGCTTAAAAAAAGCACTTTTCAGTTTTTGGCTTAAAAAAGCACTTATTTACCAAACACTTCCAATTTTTACTTTTTCTCGGCTTGCGTGTGAAAAGTGCTTTTCCCTTTTCTATTACACAAAAAGCACTTATTTTACCAAACACTACCAACTTTTACTTTTCAAAATCACTTTTTTCTCAAACACTATCAACTTTTACTACTAATCACTTTTTCATTACATCTCCAAAAGTGCTTTTTTTTTAAGCAGAAGCAGTTGCAAACACTCCCTAATAATATATGCTTAAATTCTGCTCTGCAATAACAAGTTTGATATGTTCAAGAACATAAAGTCAGAAACTACCTGAAAGTTAAACCTTCAGAATAGTCGAATAGAATTCACAATATGCCAATTTAATTGATGTAATGAAAAGTAGAACTTTTCTGCGGGATAGAACTTTCAGATTAATAAAATATGGTTGCGGGATAGAACTTTCAGATTTCAGCCACTAAGTAATACTCCCTCCGTCCCCTGTTATTGTCCCGTTTCCTATTCACCTGGTTAACACAAATCACTCTTAATCTCTTACTTTATGTTTCAAATTTTTATCAAATTTGATTCAGTTATTTGCGACTCTGTAAAGCTTTTAAT